TAGCCATATGAAAGGGTTGGGCATATAAATCACTATGGCCACTGTGGAAATCAATGCAGAAATTCCTCAAAAAGCTAAAAATAGAATGATTATATGATCCAGCTCTACATTCCTGGCTATATATCCAAAGGACACCATATTCTCCTACTGAGATACTTGTACTTCCGGGTTCGTTATTACTGTGTTTACAAAAGCTAGGAAATGAAATCAGTTTAAACATCTATTAACTAATGGGTATTGAAAATGTGATGCATATACACAATGACATTTTATTCAGCTTTAAAGAAAAACAAGACAATTTCAGGAAGAGAGCTACAACTGGAAAACATACTGTGTATGGTAACCCAGAACCAGGTATATATATATGTAGCATGCCCTCTCACATATGTGTATCCTGGCTTTGAATTTTTGATTTGGAGTGTTTGTGAAGGACAGGAAGCTAAAAAGACAACTAGCATGGGTGAGGTGGTGCTTAAAAAGTGACAGGATAGTAGAGTGCATGTGATATGAAGGTAGAAGGGGAAGAGTTAAAGGGTTAAGCAGGAATAGAGATGGAGGGACAGGAAGGCAGAGCATTCACACTAAGAACCTTTGAAAACACTCATGAAAATCCCCTACTTTGTAAGCTAATTTAAAAAAAAAAAAACAAATTCTAACACAAGTCTCTTTCACTCATGAGTAGACAATGCTTCACTCAAAAGCCATGAGTTATTAAATGAAAATCTCAGTGTCAGGTGTACATTACCTTGTTACAAGCTATTGGCCAGGGAGAAGCCCAGAGGCCTCTCCCCCACTTCCCGACCTTGTAGATCTCTAATGTGGCTGTTTTCTGAGAACTTTTATCTGTTGTTTTTTTCCTTGAACTCTTCCTGTGGCTAATATTTGTTGCATTTTATACGCTGACCTTTACATGAGGTGTCACGTGAGTTTGTACATTCATTCTCACAACACAAAATGGTTACTCCTGCTAACAGATAGGAAAACTGAGCCACAAAGAATCTAGAAGGTCTACAGAGGATACATAAGCTGAGTAGGACTTCAAACTCAGGTAAGACGCCTTCCAAGCACCAGACTTTAATGCTAACCCATAATGCCTTTCAAACATTAGTCAATATCACTAACATTCTAGTAATAAGTAATAAATGTGAATGACCATGATATGCAGTGAGGGATACAGACACAACACCCCAAACTACAGTGCCTTAGCATGCAGTGAATTGAAGAGGCCCCAGGAGCACGATTTCCTTCCTTTATCGTCTCTCCAGTTCCCACTTGGGTCATAGAAAGTAAATCTACCTAATGAGATGGGTGATCCAAATGAGAATTCCTCACTCCAAACTGGCCATAAAACCTACAAAGCCTTTTCTATCTTCTTCTGATTTTCTATGGAAAGACATAATAAATGGTCATAAGTAAATTTTTTGATCTACACACTTGAAAGTAGGTCAAATGCCCTCCTTCCAGAGAAGTCCTACCCCTGGCTCTTGAAGTCAAGAGTAATTTGGAGACTTCCTACTTCCGTTTATTCCTGCCAGATCCTGCTCTTTTTGTCCACTATTATTTCTGTAGAATTCTTCACTCCTCACATCAGACAGCATAAAAGCACACATTTCCACAGTTAAGCCCTTATTTCTCTGACAGTTGACACTTAACACTGCTTAAAATAAACATATGTGTTCATCTTACACAGGTTGTTAGCAAGAAACTTTGGTGGTGGCTGAGAAAATGATATAATTTGTGTTTTTTTTTCTTTCACGATACCAAGCAATGAGCTAAAAGTGTATATACACATTTCCTTCGTGGTCTGTTCTAATTGTTATGAATATACATTCTGTTGCCAGAAACAAAGCTGAGCGTTTCCCTCACAGCGGTACTGTAGCTGTGCCCCACGGGGCTTTGATAATGCTCACTTTATTATTCAGTTAAGTAGACTTCCCAGGTTTCATGGTGAGTCCGTCCGCCCATATCCTGGATATACTGCTTCAGCTGTAGACATGAGAATGTCTAGATGACTTCTGTCACCTTAAGTCTATTAGGGCTAGTGAACAAACTGGCATAGAAAATTGAACGTGATGAGCTTTTGCTGTGTGGATCACTCAATTTTAGTTGGTGTTCCCTGTTCATCAGGTGTTCTGTGTTTCCATGCACCCCTAGAACACACTGGATACACAAAAATCACACTTAAGGGCAGGTCCCATGTCTGACAGCAGGTGGGCAACACAAAATGAACTCTATGGTATTTTTGGAGATTTTTTCCATATTGCTTTGTTTTGGCATATTTATTTATTTATTTATTTACATCCCAAATGCTGCCCCCTCTCAGTTTCCCCTCACAAAGTTTCTCCCCTATGCCCCTCCCATTCTCATCTGAGAGACTAGCTCTCCCCCTGTATCCCCCCACCCTGGGGCATCAAGTCTCTACAGGATTAAGCACATCCTCTCCCACTGAGGCACAAGGCAGTGCCAGGGACCTAGGACCAACTGGTGTATGCTCTTTCATTGGTGCTCCGTCTCTGGGAGCTCCCAGGGGTCCAGGTTAGTTGACACTGTTAGTCTTCCTGTGGAGTTACCATCCCCTTGAGGGCCAATCCTTTCCCTAACTTCCATAGGAGTCCTCGACTTCTGTCCAATGTTTGTCTGCGGGTATCTACATCTGTCTTTGTCAGCTGCCGGGTAGCTGCTATGCTGGGCTCCTGTCTGCAAGCACCACATAGGATCATTGACAGTGTAAGGAACTGATGCCTGTCCATAGTATGGGTCTCAAAATGGGATAGTCACTGGTCGACCATTCCTTCAGTCTCTGCTCCATCTTTGTCCCTGCATTTCTTTTAGACAGGACCTAGTTGGAGTCAAAAGTTTTGTAGGTAGATTGGTACCCTCATCCTTCTGCTGGGAGTTCTGTTTGGCTACTGGAGGTGTTCACTTCAGGTTCTACTGTTGGGCATTTTGGCTAAGGTTATCTGCATTGATAACCTCCTGGGAGCCTCCATCATCCCAGGTCTCTAGGACTTCCAAGAGAATTCTCCTATCCCCCACCCCCAGCTGCTGCATATTTTCACTCATTCTCCTGGCCCTCTGGGCCTCTCTCCTGTCTTTCATGCCTAATCCTGCCCCCCTATTCCCTTAACCCTCCCCTCTCCCACCCAGATGCTTCCCTCCCTTTGACTCCCATGACTATTTTGTCCCCCTTTCTAAGTGGGATTCAAGTATCCTCGCTTGGGCCTTCTTTTTTGCCTAATTTCTTTGGGTCTATGGGGTGTATCATGAGTATTTTGAATTTTCTAGCTAATATCCACTTATCAGTGAGTACATACCATGCAAGCCCTTTCGAGTCTGGGTTACCTCACTCAGAATAATATTTTCTAATTCCATCTATTTGCCTGCAAAATTCATGATGTCCTTGTATTAATACAGGAATAGTATTTCATTGTATAAGTGTAGCATATTTTCTGTGTCCATTCTTTGGTTGAGGAACATCTGGGTTGCTACAAGTTTCTTGCTATTATGAGGAAAGTTGGTATGAACACAGTGGAGCAGTTGGCCTTGTGGTACATTGGAGCATCTTTTGGGTATATGCCCAGGAGCAGTATACCTGGGTCTTGAGGTAGGATTATTTCCAATTTTCTGAGAAACCACCAGATTGATTTCCAGAGTGGTTGTACCAGTTTGAAATGCCACCAGCAATGAAGGAGTGTTCCCCTTTCTCCACATCCTCACCGGCATGTACTGTCACTTAAGTTTTTGATCTTGGCCATTCTGCTTGGTTGGTATAAGGTGGGGATCTCAGGGTCATTTTGATTTGCATTTTCCTGATGACTATCCATGTTGAACATTTCTTTAGGTGCTTCTCAGCCACTGAAGACACCTTTGTTAAGAATTCTCTGTTTAGTTCTGTTCCCCATTTTAAAAATGGGTTATTTGGGTTTGTTTGTTTGTTTGTTTGTTTAGTTGGTTGGTTGTTTTTTTCTGTTTTGTTTTGGTTTTTTGGAATCTAACTCCTTGAGTTTGTATATTTATATATTTAGGATATTAGCCCTCTGTCTGATGAAGGATTAGTAAAGATCTTTTCCCAATCTGCCACTTTGTCCTATTGACAGTGTCCTTTGCCTTACAAGTTTTTTGTCATATATTGCTTTTTTTTGGGGGGTGCTTTTTATCTATTGGTCTTTGGCTTGTATATTATGACTTTTGATTTTGTCGTTTTTTATAGAGTTGTTTGAGTTTGTGTGCTTATATATGTATACATCTTTGTACATTTGTGTTTCTTGTGATTTTTCTTTTGTTTGTTTTCATAGTTTTATTTTTAACCTGCCTGTTTGTTTTCTAGAGAGATGAAAAAGGCATGGAGTTCAAATGGTAGGAGGTAGGAATGATCTGGAAGAAGATGGGAGAAGGAAAACAGTGCTCAAAATATATTGTGTGAAAAAAATTTCAATTTTATAAAATATCACTGTATTCTATAAAAGAAACAAATCTGAGTTAGACAGTTTGAACTAAAGACAAATAATTGGTGATATCCATAATGAGTCTCTTTCCCCACTGATAAACTTTCCAACAATAAAATATTTATGTTTTTTAAATATATATATTTAAATTTTCATGGTCTTCCCCTGCATGGTTTCATGGTTTTCACCTGCAGCTAAGGAGTGATGGGCGGACCTGGTTGGAGTTAGAGAAGGGCGGGACTAGGGGCGGGCCAGGAAAGGGGCGGGGCTAGGGCGGTCGGGGTAGAAGGGCGGGACTAGCGAGGGCCCCGGCTAGGAGGGCGGGGCTAAGAATGGAACACCCCCCCCAGGAGGGCGGAGCCAGAGGTTGACTGGCTGGCAAAAGGAGAACTAGAGGCTCTATAGCCGGGGGTAAAGGGCGGGGCGGTAGGCGGGTCTTGCTGGTAAAGGTCGAAGGAAAGGCGGGCCGATAAGGCGAGGGGCGGGGAGGAGCGGGGAGGGGCGGGGCCTCACGGCGCGCTGACGTCAGAGCAGACTGCGACGCCCGTGGCCGGCCAGAGCTGAAGCGGCGGAGGTGTGTGGTGGAGCGGGCCTGGGCAGACGCGGGCCGAAGCACCTGCCTCAGCGGCGGCGGCTCCGGGGCGGGGGCGCCAGCGGCGAAACCCCCTCCCCGGGGAGGCAGGGCCGGGCCGGCACCTGGGAACCATGCATCAGAAGCTGCTGAAGAGTGCGCACTATATCGAGCTGGGCAGCTACCAGTACTGGCCGGTCCTGGTGCCCCGCGGCATCCGCCTCTACACCTATGAACAGATCCCGGTGTCCCTCAAAGACAACCCCTACATCACCGACGGCTACCGTGCCTACCTCCCCTCCAGACTGTGTATCAAAAGGTACAGTGGCTGTTGCCCGCGGCGCATCCTCTCCTCTCATGCTTTTTGTCTGCTCGCCCCATCCTTCTCCGCTATTCTCTGTGTGCATTCCTCACCTCTTGGCCCTTTATCTTTCTGCTGCTCTATCTCTCCTCCGCGGGTCCTTGATCCACTAAATAACAATGATACCAACATCGTTGCCTTCTCCATTGGCCCTTTGCTGTTTACAAAGCGCTTTTACATCCTTTTTTTCCATTTGGCAATCACTGGGGATATGGGTTGGAATCTTCCCCGCTGACAATGGCCGAACCTTATTTGCTCTGTATACCTGAGCTTTGTTTCTAGGGCAGCACTGTGGGGATTCAGAAGTGTTGGCCAGTTGAATGTCCATATAATAGCAGACAAGTCCACATTGCTGTGACTATGTATGTGGGAAGCCCTGATTCATTCAATCATCTAGCAAATGGGCACTGAGGCTCTGCTAGGTGGTAGGCACCATACCAGTTGCAGAAGGCCGGCATGGTCCTTGTTCCCACGACGCTGCTAAGGGCTAGCCTAAGTGGCAGACACTAAAAGGGATAATTACACTATTACATAATAGTAGTTGTGGAGAATGCTGTGTAGGAAAAACCCCGTAGCAAAGAAAGCTGAAGGGACAGCCGGGCCAACAGAACACCTTAGAAGCCTCTGAACAAAATGGATTTGTTGATTTAGAGCTTTAAAATGAGAGTCCCAAAAGCTTTCTGTTTAAAAAGAAAATTTAAAAATGGCCCTAGTTTTCAGAGTAGCTTTCTATTAGAACTCACTGTGTGTACTAAAGTTCTCACTCAAGCAGAAGTTTGGTACAGTACTCCAGGTCACTGGAGTGGCACACTCGGCTTTCCACAGTGTGGGCTGTTGGATTGCTCAACCAGCAACCTCGTGTGTTTATTGATCTTTCCAGCATGGTCTTTCCTGAACTCATTTCTTTTTGTACTGCCTTGAAAGTGTTTTTGTGACATTGCTTGAATAGATGACCAGGTGGATGTCACAATTTGAGTTTTGATTACTGCTTTATTTCTCCAGTGCTTCCTGTGCATAATTAAGCAGTCAGAGCTAAGCCCTGTTGTAGAGATGGAGGAAGCAGGCCAGAAATGGGTTGTTGTGAATATTGTACCCACCCAGCTGTGCTTCCTCTACATTCTGATGTCTTGAGTCCCAATCTGAAGGAGTTGAAATCAGGACATAAATAAAACGTTAGTTAGATCTTGAGTTGTTGAGTCAGACACAAGTTAACAAACCTGCCTCTTAACTGCTTCAGAAATTTGAGCAAGAGTTAACCTGTTGATTTTGAAGATACAATTTATGAGTGCCCAGCTTTTCTAACAATAATACTTTATCCTTTTGCGGGAATACTCTTCCTATAATATTGATCTTATCCAAGTTGGGCCTTTACCCTCTCTTCTCCTAACCTTCAAGAGTCTCCCGGACAGATTTTACATGTGAAGAGAGATTTTATACGTCCATCCATTCTATCTGCATTCTGTTCCTGGGAAGGAACACAGACAGAGTATGTTTAGTTAATCAGGTTATACTGGGTTTCATAAAATGAATAGCATTGCTTGCCAAAACAGTCCTATAATTAGATGCTTCTAGAGCATTCTTTTAGTTCCTCCCCCAATTACAGATAGCCTTTATATTGATGGTAGTCAAGATAAAGTCTGTGTCTCCAGATACATGATATTCTTTATTCTTGATCATTGAGACTTCACCATGTTTTTCCCTCATAACGATGAAGCTGTGAAACCCATAGGAACTGCTGCAGACGGGTAGTTGTACATTCATGCTCTTTATAACTTCTGATTCAGGGCCTGGGGGAGATTGTTCAGTGCTTAGGAGCTTTGGCTGCCCTCCCAGAAGACTTGCCTTTGATTTCCAGCACCCACAACTCACAACTGTCTATAACTCCAGTTCCTGATGCCTTCTAGCTTCTAGGTACTGGGCACACATGTGATACACAGACAGACATACAGGTAAAACACCCACAGATAGGAAATAAGAATAATTAAACTTTACCCTGCCCCCCAAAAAACTGATTTATTAACAGCCAAGGTGTTAGTTTAGCAAAAGATTTGGTTTTGCTAGAGACATGCAGGAGTACTTAAATCTTCAGTCATGACATCACCTTATAGAAAAAAACGAAGAACCATTTCCCAGAATTGCGAAAGATTTGGAAGCAAGCAGGAGCACCTAATGCAACGCCTTTTCTTTATGGATGAAGAAACTGATTCCTGGTCTGGATAATAGTCTTTGCCAGCCTGTGCTGCCAAGACATTTTAAGAGGACAAATAGTACCCACTCACAAAGTAATCTCCCATTGCTCCTAAGAGGGGCAAACTCATGCCACCTGAAGCTCAAACTGGTTTCAGAACCTGCATAGCAAAATTGCTCTGGCATGCCTGCCTGTCTTCAGGACCTCTCCAGTGGGTTCTTTTGTGTGTGTTTTGTCTACCTAGATGCACTGAACTTTGAACATGTATTTAATAAGTGAATAAGAGGTATTTTATCTTTATGCCTTAACTTTCACTGAGCAGTCTTGGTTTACTGCCCCTGACAGTTTGCTAGCTAACTTCCAGTGTTTGCACGCTTGCTTCATTTCTGGAGAAAGGAAGGGATCTGAGCAAAGACTCAGCTTTCAAAAGTGATGCAGTCGGGGGAAGGAAGTAGAGAAAGCAGTGTGGGTTGAAGGCCCAAAGCTGTAGCTCCCAGGATTAGTGCAAATGGGGGAAAGTCACAGAAATAGTAACCATTCATCCAGTCTTAGAAAGGCAGAAAGGTTGGAGGCTGAGCACGTTCCCCAGTCCCTAACCACTGAGCCACAGTGAATCTGAGCTTTGTTTGTTTTCTTTGTAGTTTGTTTATTCTATCCAATGAGACGGTAAACATCTGGAGTCATTTGCTGGGGTTTTTTCTCTTCTTCACCCTGGGGATATATGACATGACATCCGTGCTGCCTTCGGCCAGCGCATCCAGAGAAGACTTTGTGATTTGCTCTATTTGTCTTTTCTGCTTTCAGGTGAGTCATTCTGCAAACACCCTTTGGGGTGAAGAGAACTTTTGTCAGGAATGCTTGCACAGCGATCTTCTTCAGACCCACCGCTTGCTTTGAGCAGCCCTGCAGAGGGCACATGGGACAGCTTATTTGCTTTCATAGCATAAGCCCATAGGAGCTGCTGCTCTGTCTCTCTGGGAGTTGTTATTGCAGCAGTTTGTAATCCACTACATTTCAAAGACGTGGGAACTGTGTTCATCCTTCCCACCCAACCCCAGTCTGAGGCAGAGCCCCATTGTGTAGCCCAGGCTGGCCTTGAACTTGAATTTTCCTCAGCTTCCCACCTCATGAAATGCCAGGATTATAGGCATACATGACCACGCCTTGCTTTCTAATCTTTGTAGACATCTTGGTTCTAAGATGAACACTAGGGTGTGAGTCTGACTGTACTCTATTATCTGGTGAAAGTTAGTATCTACTTAAAGCCTGCTATTTAAGTATACGCATGCCTTGCGTTTGCTGTGTTCACACTGCCTTTCTCTCACTCCTTACCTCACTGGCGTTGACCTAATGCTTCAGTGTCAGTTTCCTTAGATCCCTTTGTAGTTGCTTGGTTTCAAATTGATTGCATTTTTATTTTGTCTTTAGCTTATGAGTTTATTAATTATGTTACACTTGTATTTTTCCAAGGATCTATAGAAATATCTTTAAATTTAACATCTAATAATTGTCAAACAGACCATTTTTTGTTACTAAAATTAGACTTTTGCTCCTACAATATATTCTGATTACCATTTCCCCTCCGTAACCTCCTCCCAGACCCTTCCCACCTTCCCATCCATCCAACTCCATGCCTTTCTTCTCTCTCCTTAGAAAACAGGCAAAGAAACAAACCAGAGATGAACAGAAGAAACGGGGAGGAACAAAAGAGAAGTGTGCACACAGGCACACACACACATACACTCACAGAAGTACACATTCATGCAAAGCCTATAAGCACACACACACACACACACACACACACACACACACACACACACAAACAGATACACCCAAGTAGAGGCACACATTCATGGAACGCCCATAAAAACACAAAATCAGAAACCATAATATATGAGCATAAGACAAATTAGGTTAAGAAAATGCTCAAACAAATCATTAAGTTATATTAAAACAAACCCAGAAATTACCATGGAGTTCATTTTGTGTCGGCTGCTGACTGCTGAGCGCAATCGATGGCTGGGCATGGGCAGCCTTCAGATGTGGTTTGTTCCAGTGTGACTCCATTGGAGAACAGTGTTTCCCTTGTGAATGCTTATCAACTGGAAATAGCTTCTGGGAGGGATGGGGATTCGAGTCTACTTCCGCTTCTCAACGCTGGTTCCTCATCTGGCTTAGGCCTGTGCAGGCCTCAGGCATGCCAACACAGTGTGTGTGAGTTCATTTGTGTATCAATCCCATTGAGTCTGGAGCACAGTCTTTCCTAAGGGTCATATGTCCCCCTGGCTCTGATATCCTTGTCACCTCCTCTTGTGCAGAGTTTCCTGAACCATGAGGAAGATTTGATAGAGACGTCCCATTTAGAACTGGCATTCGCTCTCTACACATTGTCCGGCTGTGGGTCCCTGCATTTAGGCTGTCTACTATTAGAGGAAGCTCTTCTGATGAGGGCCGAGCAAGACATTAACCTATGAGTGTAGCAGAATGTCATTAGGACTCGTTATATTGCTGCATTCTCTTAGCAGAACAGTCGTATTTGCTTTTCCCCACTAGGTCCATGGCCTATCTAGTCTCAGGTTCTTGTCTTCCCAGGCAGTGTTGGGCTTGGCGTCCATCTCATGGAGTGTGACTTCAATCGAGTCGGACAGTGGTTGGTTACTCCCGTAACTTTGGGCACTGTTAAACTGGCACAATCAAAGTGTTCAAATAGACCGTTTAAAAGGAGGAAATAAATACAGGCGATAGCCTGTTGACATTTTGATGATTTCACCCCGTGAAAATGAGACGAAAAGGCAGCATCACACTTGCTCCTGACAGACTTAGGCCAGGGCTCTGCACTTGGAGAGGAGAACCAGGAATTCACCGCATAGTGGTTTTATTACGTCTTATATTTCAGACCTTGCCATTTTGCTTCAAACTTTGGTCCTAAAGGACTAAGAAATATATTAGAAACATCTTAAATTTTCGTTTTAGTAATTTCAACTTTAATATAACAGATGTTTATTTAATGTCCCTATGTACTTCCATGCCCCATGCAGCAGTAATGTGTAAGGATGAATAGAATAAACATCCCAATGAGATCAAGTCCTGTATGTAGGATGGGAGAAAAGTAAATCGGGCCATTCAACCAGGAAAAATGCTACGTGAAGGGCCAGAAGCAACAGACAACATAGTGCTGTCCAGACGTAGAGGCTTTCATCTTCCATCTGAGTCCTGGAGTAGCAGAGGAAAAGGGAAAACAGGCAGCTGGCAGGGGCCAGATCATGGCCTACTCTGTTATCCCGCCAGTGTGCCGATCGATGTACGTGGATGTACACTGTAATTATCTTCCGACTTTGGTAGTGAAACACGCCATAGGATGCTTTCTGCTGGATCTGAAAAATACACATTTGCCAAAATCGTAGTCTCTCTAGGAGCTCTTAACAAGGGCATACACCTCTTTAAACAGAACATAGAAAATATAGATTCACCTTTTAAAATATGGAGTGCTTTCTTTTTGATACTGTAGTTTTTCTTCCTCAGATGCCTCCCTTCACAACGAGGTCAAATGTATTACTGCTATTTGTAATTACTATCGGTTACTGTCTGCACGTGTCAGTAGTCAAGCAGATCAGAGTTTAAGACGGAAAGGAAAAGTCACCTGAAATCCCACTCCCACGGTAGCCTTGGCTGTCATGGCAGTTCTAATAGGCATTGTGTGCACACGGCTGCCTCGGGTCATCCTCTCTGCCTGTCCACTGGCTGCTTCCAAGCTCACATCATTTTGCTGCCTACCTTGCTGCTGCCTCGTGCATCATCCTGTGTGATACTGAGATCGTTCTCTCTCTCCACCACAGTTTTCTCCAGGCTTATGCATGTAAGCTCAGGGATGACCAGAGAACACAACCGAGCAAGACACATGAGTAGGCCAGCCACCTATGGTGGCTTAATAGTCAAAAACCACATGCCAACAAAGACTGTGACAGTAGATGAACTAAATCTTGGTTAACTGTGGTATTACTGAGCATGGCCACCCAGTCTCCTCAAGCTGGGTAGGCTTGCTTAAAAACAAACAACTGGATGTTCGTTTCTCTAAAAGAGCTAGCTGCTCAAAATACATCTGTCGGTTGGGCTTACTTCACAGTAGTTTACTCTCCCATTTTCTCCACTCCCAGTGTCACTGACTTGGTAAACTCAGCATTGTTCCCCAGGGCTGTGCTTGTCCAGTCTACACCTCTGTAAAGGTGGTCTTCATGCCATCAGAAAATTTGTAACTGGGCCATAGTTCAAAAATTAAAGCACCTTGTTGTATAGTCACTTTAATTGTGGCATGAAGAAATCTGCATTTCTTTCTTTGTTGGTTCCATATTTTTCATTATATGGCTTGTCTTTATGGACCCCTCCCCCCGAATGCCCTGTGAACTCTGGCTGAATGTTGACACAGTGCAGATGTCAGCTCTCCCTCTTGTGATGCTTTTCCCTTCTCCAGGCACCCCTGCAGCCCTACTACATGCACCACACAGCCAGCACCGTCTTTCCTTGCTTTCCTACGGTCTTCACTGACTTCTATAGAAGTTGTTATAGCAGGGTTTCTCAAAAAAAAAAAAAATCCCCTAGAGTAGAAGTCACATCTTCATATCCCTTGCATTGCTTGACCCATAACAGGTCATTGAGAGCCAGTTCTAAGTCCTCAGAGCAGCTGTATGCATCAGTAGCTTTGCTGGCCCTTGGGAAAACATACACACTTGATTTTTCATGGATATAATGAAACCATATTTACTTAGAACTTTGAAGTCACCTATAGTCTTTAAGTTAAACAAAAACAAGTTGTAGCCTGGTATGGTGGCACATACGCTAAAATGTGAAAGATTTATACGATCTGGAAAAAAAAAAAACAGAATATTGGCATGAACCTTTAAACCAATACCTGGAATACAGAGGAAGGAGGTCTCTGACTTCAAGGCCAGCCTGGTTTATGTAGTGAGTTCCAGACCAATCAGGGCTCATAGTGAGACCTTGTCTCACAATGATAACAAAGTATATTAATTATAATAAGTAAATTTGATTAAAGTACTTATCATGTTTGTAGACATGTATATCACAGGTCCTTGGAACACATATGTTACAGGGACATGTAACATGTTATCAATAAGTCACTTCTAAGGAATAGATTAAATGACAGGGGCTTGTATTTTATACAGTGTACAATTCTGTATCCTTTGATTTCTCCTAAGGGATGTATGCTAATTTAATGACTGGTATAAAAGTAAACTCATTTATGAATCAGAGTAACCTTAGGAGGTATTTTGGAAATATTTGCAGTAAAAATATTTGCATTGTATTATTTTCCCAATTTTGGTTATTTATCTACAGTTTTATGCTTTAAAATAATTATAATTTGTAAGTTTGGTAACTGAGATCCTCATTTTACTGATGAGCTTAGATCAGTGGCAGTTAGCCCTATGATGAGGTGCATTGCACTGAAGTGACCGTGACTTGCTGACCTGACATCTAAGCCATATCTCTGAGCACCATTCACGAATTGCTTGGCTTTCCGTTTTCTCCCTTTGTTCTTATGGTCTGCATTTCCTTTTGTAGGTTTGCATGCTTTGCTCGGTGGGGTATCATCTTTTTTCCTGTCATCGGTCAGAAAAAACTTGTCGGAGATGGATGGCATTGGATTACGCAGGGATTTCTATTGGAATACTGGGCTGCTATGTCTCGGGAGTATTTTATGCATTTTATTGCAATAATGTAAGTGCTCAGAACTTTCCTACTCTGTCTTCTATATAGGATTTGGAGTTTCTTGCACTGGTTCAAATCTATGAATGCAACTTAACAGGAGAGACTTGCGTGGGGACAAACTTAATTTTCAAAAGGATCCTATGATCTCTGATAATTACTATGGGTCCGTAGGTTTTTGTTTTTTTAATTTTATGGTGGAAACTGACTTAAAGAATGGAGATACAACACAGAGCATGCAGCCCTACTGTTACACACTTTGCTTGTTATTTCGTCTCACTGCACCTCTCTTTCTGAGCCCACTCAGTGCTTCTCTCCAGTACCACACATCTGCTGGGAGTAGTCATTCTTTCCCAGTGAGCAGGTTGTGTCCTGCCCAAGCTTCCCTCCCTGTGCAGTGCGTCCACGGCACCCCAGTTTATAAAACTTGTTTGTAAAAGTCTTCCAGAGGACTCGGGTTTGATTCCCAGAACCCACGTGTCAGCTCATGGCACTCTGTAGCATCAGTTTTGTGGGACCTTGCATCTCTTCTGGCCTCTGAGACATCAGGCATGCAGGTGATCCACAGACATAAATGCTGTGGAACACCCATACATTTATACCATAAATTTATTCAAAACAAAAATGAACTACCAAAGAAGACAGTCTTAGGCTTGAATATATGAGGACCATTATTAACTACGTATGTGATTTTTAGACATAGTTACATTATAAAATACTATATCATTAAATACATATGTAATTACTGTGTACATCAATTGGATTGTACTAATAAACTGATTGCATGTGCCCATAAGTAAATAGGACCATTCTGTGTGCGACTGTGTGCATCCTTAAAGGAAAGGTCTGGACACTAGCTGTGGAGAAGGCTGATGTTCAGTCATACCTAAACTGCTGTTTTATACTACAGTTAGGTTTTCTGTTTACCTCTTCCTAAGTATCAAAATAGAAAACTTATTTTATGAAAAATAAAAAATAAACCTAGAAAAAGAGAAGAAAACTATGGCATCAATAATCCACAGTTACACAGAAGAGAAATTCCTGTCTTCTCCCAGCATCTGTAGCTCCAAGCTTTTCCTTTCTTCAGTGGCCCCTGCCTGTCAAGGGATATAAACCACTCTGAGAGTGAGCCTAAAACTGGACCCTTGGTCCAGATGGAACACTTGGGTTCACGCAGGACAAACGATCTGATGGGTAATTTCTCGACCTGAGCAGCCCACAGATGCCTGGGAGCCCAGGTAAGGAAGCTTCCACTTTGTATAGCTGACTTTTGAGCCCAAACCCCTCTGTGCTGTTCAGTTAGGGACTGAGTACTTCATAACTCTTCATGTATACTTAGCTGGCTCTAAACTCTTTTTGTCTGAGTGACCATTCTTTCACGTTTCCCTTATTTTCTGCAAACTTGGGCCATCCTTGTTCAGGCCCTTTAATGGAAGCCCTTTATGTGGTTCCTCAGGCAAGAAAGGGTTGAACCTTCCTCAGCTTTCCTTCTCAAATAATCAGCTATATCTGGTATATCAGATGTGTGTGTGTGTGTGTGTGTGTGTGTGTGTGTGTGCGCGCACAAACATACATACATACTCCATCCCAGGGGTGTGGGTGTGTGGGTGTGTACAAACATACCTCCACACTTCATCCCAGCTGCATCTCTCCCACTTCCTCCCATCTCTTCTCTGTACTGGTATCTGAACTCTTGCCTCAGTTACCACATTCTGGGGTTCTGGGTCCATGCCACCAACCCAGAATGCACCCTGTTCTTTAGCAGCCCCTAGTGTGTCAGTTTGGCAGAGTTCATCTTAGTCACATCTTCCAACCTTTCTCCAAGCCACCCTGGCCTCTCTGCTCCTTCTCCCAGGGCATTGCATCTGCAATCCTCACCAGCTTAGATGTTGTCTTCTATGTGGAAGTGCCTTCAGCGAGCCCACGTAACATTTGCTGTTCTTGCTTCAGTGGTTCTACAACACTCTATTTGTGACTTGGTCACAGTGTTATCAGTACATTATCATCATGTTCTCAAGGCTGCCCCTCCCACAGTCTGAGCTCAGATACCAGGAGAGTCCATGCCATAGGCAACCTTGTTCCTACAACATTCTGCCGGGGCCTAGCATTTTACAGGTACTCAGAAAATGCTTTTGTACAATGAAGCAAGTGTGGCCTTTTACCAGTTCATTTTCAATTTTTGTTTGTCATCCTAAGAAACTTTTCAAAAACTTATCATTTGTATAGAACACACCTTAAAATGTGTGTGTGGGGGGGGGGGGTCTGGTTTGGCTATTACGGCCAATCACTAGAGCCTGTAATGCTTAATGTCAATGCCCAGATCACTGTTTCCCTTTCATTCTAGTACTGGCGTCAGGTGTACCTGATCACCGTGCTTGCGATGATCCTGGCAGTGTTCTTCGCACAGATCCATCCCAGTTACCTCACACAGCAGTGGCAGAGGCTCCGCCCCATCATCTTCTGTTCTGTTTCGGGATATGGAGTGATCCCTACTCTTCACTGGGTTTGGCTCAATGGAGGAATCAGTGCTCCTATAGTACAGGTAGGTTGAGTGTGGTCAGAATTTTTTTTTATTTTTTTGTTCTTCATTTTCATTCCTTGCTGAAAGTGCTGTAATCAGGCCATGTGGGTAGCTCTGAATCCTTTGGGAGCGTGTCTTTAATTGTGTATTGAGACATTGTTTCCGCTGCTATATAGATAAGCATACCTTTCCAAATCATAAGTTAGCCCCTACTCATTACTGAGGAGTCATTGTATGAAATAATATTCCTTTTCTGTCACAGTGTGTAAGTACACATGTCATTTCTTGGGACCACTTCTGAGGTTGCAGTTTGTCTGCTGGGCTGGTGATAATAGGGTAGACACTAGGTTACAGAAGTGGGAGCAGCTGCTTTCTTTTTAGGGTGAGGATGAGGGTCTGAGGAGGAATTTTTGGTTGGAGATGCATAAGCGATGTAAATAAAGCAGACCGAGGGTTGAAGTGAGGCTGGCGCCGGAGAAGGTGATAGGTAGTCAACACTAGTGTATTGGTAGCTGGAACTAAAGGAGTCTGCTCAACCCTCCAAGAAGAGTAAATTGAGAAGGAAAAGAAAAGCCGTTGATATTACTCAGATCCTGTGGATGGGTGATAGATGACAGGAAGAACTCCAGGAGGGCTCCGTCTTCCTGCGGGTCACAGAAATTTGTTTCTGTGTTCATAGAAATTCTTGTAAAAAGGCTCCCAGTATGTGCTGTAGAGAACACTTGAAAATGCTGGTTGTGGGTAAGTACACCAGGAAAGCTGATGAGGCAGGTGTCGCAGAGCCCTTCGTCTGGACTTGCGTGGACTTGTCACTGTCCAGGAGACTGAGTTTGGAGAGGAAGGGCTGAAAGTGGGCTTGCTGTCACTGTGTGAGGCTCATCAGCATAGGGAAAGCAGAAAAGAGAAAGGTGGTCTGTGACAGTGACACAGAGGCCTGGGATTCAAGAAGGGAGCCCAGCTGTGATGAGTGAGGAAGGACCTAGTTGTCCTGCTATGTGTGAGACATCATTTCTCTGGCCATCTTGGTCCCCCAAGAATAAGAATAAGACAGTAGAATGAGAAGCTGCGACCTGTGGTTTAATTCTAACAGAAATGAATGACTGGCAACTAATACAGAAGTGATTAATTTTAGAGGTGGTAAAATAATTTTAGAGCTATAAAGAACAAGAACTTTTAAGCTGATGGATTTTAGGAAAATTTGAATACTCCTATTTTCACAAGACTTAAGATAGAAAATGTGAATAAAGACAATGGCTCTTAAAAACAATTCTAATAAGATCATCAATCATTCTAGCGAAGAAGCAAAAGAGAGACTTGAAGAAATTCACTAAAAAAGCTCTCATTTTTAAAAAATGAGAAGAGTTGTCACTCCCAAAGATGAGATTTTCAGAAGGGTTAGGCCTAACAGGCGGTTGAAGGTGCATTCTAAGATGGTTAGGAATCCAAGACTGATGAACCAGAAGAATACAGAGTTGGAAATGGCCAGGATCATTCTCACATACTTGAAAAGGAAGAAAGAAGTTGTCTTTATTTTTTATGTGAATTATTGGTAAATTGGGTTTGTAATGAGAATTAGGAACAGCGTGTATGTTTTAGCTCATTGGTTTTCACTAGAGTTGGGAAGACCACTGGGCCTATGCATCAGCAGTGAGATGAAGAGCTTCGTGCAGAGATGCTCAGGGCACTTGTCTGGCTGTAGGAAGGACTCTAGCTATCCTTGCCTTGGACAGGGTTGTTCAGAAGTGTCTTCAGTCTCTGCTGACTCAGCTCTCTTCCACATGGCGCTCTGTAACCTCTTTGCAGAGGAGATGGGCAGTCTCAGGACTGTCACCAGCTAAGCTCCCTGAGTAGCCAGACTCTGGGGCTGACAGTGACAGTGTACTCCATTGCTGTGGACCTTTATTCCTATGGGACGAGAGTAAGAGACCATTACTGTAAGAGACTGTCAGCAGGATAGCGGAGATGTAGCAACCTTTAAACCCTACTTCTGACCTCCGGCAGGTGTCAGTAGTACTGGGGAAGCCTAAGAAAGCCTACTTTGCTTTCCAGGACTTCGCACCCCGAGTAATTGTGATGTACGTGATTGCTCTTCTTGCTTTCCTGTTCTACATTTCCAAAGTCCCAGAACGGTACTTTCCAGGTAGGTCCTTGTTCATCACAATTTTATAGCTGTCTTCTAAAAATACATTTGAAGTAAATGCTTCTGATAATCAAAATTTAGATTGTCTCTCAGTATTATTGATTATGGAACGATTCTTCCATTCTTAAGCATTCTTAATCCATAACTTTAAATTTCAGGGAGCTTTCACAGATATTTCCTACTGCCCTCACAGAATGATTTGGGGTCAGGGGCTGGGGTTGACACTGTTGTTCAGTTATGAGCTTGTGACAGTGTTCATCTGACTCCAAGGATCATGTGACTTCTGACCTCTGTTCTTTTTACCATTGGGCAGTATCATTAGCTGCCATGTTCTTCTGTCCATACCAACTTGTTCCTATTCAGTAAATTCATATGCAGACATACGGCAAGAAATGCAGGAAGCAAAGACACAAAGGCAGTTACAACAAGACAGGTTCAGAGTCTGTTTTCTACCTGTACATTAGGGCTTTATCTGTGATTTCTGATATCTGAAGGAAAGCATTCCAGTGTGGTTTCTAGGAATGTATCCCACGGGTAAGAGGATTGTGCCTCACACAATTCTATGCAGTAGGTCAAGGCACCCAATCTGGCCTCAAGCGTCCTACCACCACTGTTAGAGAGGGGTTTGCACCACGTCACCATAGCAGGACTAAGGGGAATGTTGAGAGTTGTCCTAGTTCTGGTTTTGTTGACCGGGAAACACCAGGAAGCTCCCCTGCATTGATGATCAATTAGTCCTTCCCAACTGTATAACACCTAACAGGTTCACATGCAGCCAGACAATGCATGCGCTCCGGCAAGAGTGCTACCTAAAGCATGTGGACCTGGAGCACTAGTGCCTCTTGTTTCTCATGCAATATTTCCCCAACTCTGCCAACTGTGCTGAGACATGGAAGATCAATTTTCTGAAATTAAACCTTACCTTAAATGTTTTTCACATTTACTGTGTGTGTGTGTGCTTACATGTGTGCACCCATGAGTTGGGGGGGCAGGTGTCACAATGTCCAAGCATCAGCCAGAGGACAACTTTGAAAGCTCAGACACCCCTCTGTGGGCTCCCTCTTATTCCAGGGCCCATGGATTTGAGGGATAGCAGGGTCCATCAGACTTGATGTCAGGTACCTTTACTTGCTGAGTTATTTCATTGGCCCACACAAATCACATTCAAAAAAATAAAGTTGAGGTCTAAGGACATACTACCCAAACATGTCTGATGTCATCTATAAACAGTTGGGAGCAGCACTTCTGAAATTAACTTGCATGCTTAAGGAATAAAACCTTAAATATGAGTCTATCCTCTTAAAAATACTTGGATCTGAATTAATCTATAGTCAGTCTGGCCAGAGACAGAAGTATATTTTTCTTTTAATACTGAAATAATAAGCATCAGCCTTTCTTTCTGTTCTCCCAGGACAACTAAACTACCTCGGATCAAGCCACCAGATCTGGCATGTCCTTGCAGTAGTGATGCTGTATTGGTGGCATCAGTCAACAGTGTATGTCATGCAGTACAGACACAGCAAGCCTTGCCCTGACTATGTTTCCCACCTGTGACTCCAGGTATGGCCCCCCCTGGTGAATCCAGTCATTCAGCAATATACACTGGGGAATTTTAGACCCCATTTTTCTAAGCCTCCTCCCCCCTTTTTTTTACTTGTTTAATGAGTCACAATGCTTTATAAAAATGGAAGAATATACTCGGATCTATAGTAAGAACTGTGCTTGACCCTTGCAGCAGTGGTTCGCTGTGGTCCAGACAGTGAAAGTTAAATCCGTTGAGAACGTTTTGAGTAGCAGCAGTGGGTCATGAAATGACTCTAAGCTCTGTGTAGTCCAGCTTCATTCATTAGGAAGGGCTCCTGTCTATAGGCAATGGAGACATCCTACATGATGACTCTCAGAGGAGACAGTGTCATTAAATGATCAAATTTAAGTGCCTCTTCAAGGCCAGGGTTGCTACATCCTGTGCTGCACCAAGCTAAGCAGGGCAGCTGAATCATCACAGTCTGTGAGAAACTGGCACCTGACTTACTACCCTTAGCCAGGTTCTCCTCTCCTTAAGAACATTTAGGGTTTTGGTTTTGTTTTGGTTTTGTTGTGATAGTTTTTTGTTTGTTTGTTTTTATATTTGCTAGCAAAAAATTTAATTCCACCTTTAATTAAGAAAGGTGGTGAGATGAGAAACAAATGTGTACTGCTGTTTTTAAGAAAGGGTATTAGATTGGAAACCAGGGGCATGAGTGAGCAACACACTGTCTGATAACCCAGTCCTCAGTCTAATTTTGCTCCAAATATTATTTAATTCCATATTATAATTGGATTCTTGACACTGAATTCTGATCTCAGTTTTCCAAAAGAACGTTCATCTCTAACTCTGTTGTCCTAAGTTTCATGGGTTCCAAACTATATGGGTGCTACTTTGAAGGCCATTCGATCTGGGTGGCCCTTACCTGACCATGAAGTGAACCTTGAGCCTTAGAACATGGCTCATCTGGTCATGGTGAGATTATTCACTGCACTCCAGTCCTGCTTACTCTGTTCCGACATTTTACTGACAACTTAAGAAGTATGTATAAACACCATGTATGACTGAGAGCTGAAGTGCTGTCCTTGTTTAAACTCAGTAGATCTTACTGCCCTGTCAGATAGTGTGACTCTTATTCTAAATGCTAAATCATTCACACTATTCATGGAAACGTCTGCTGTCCACCAAAATACAAAGTATCACCTAAGTTTCCTAATAAGTTGACAAGCTGTTTTAAATACTGGTATATTTAGAAAAATAGAATTAACTAATGTATCATAAACTTTGTCTCGTCATCGATGTTTATTCATAAATGCACTTTCTGTATCTAGTATTAGGAAAGTAGATACGCCTCTGCAGAGGCTTTCTTTCTAGTCTAGTGGTTTTGGAATTTAAATTTCCCATGCTAGAATGTTAGCAGGAATTTTTCCCAGTGATCTCTGTAAAGGACACCACTTCATTGCCATTGTTATGATGGAACACTATTTTGAAAGTGGCTGTTGTACCTTAGGGTCACAAATTCAACTCATAGGAACAATTTTAGATGACCTAAATATAACAAAAGTAGGATTTATTTTTTCAGAAAATATCCTTTATTGGTCAGTGTTGTTCTTGAATACACATTTTGTCCTTTTGTCCAGAAGAAATATACTAAATAGTTATGAAGTAAAAACTGAGAGTAAAATTCAGTAACTTTAGATATGGAACCATTTTTATTATGAATTCTAAAAAAAAAATATTCTTTTTTAAGTTTCCTTTTTTTTTCTTTTTTCAGACAAGGTCCCACTCTGTAGCCCTGGAACTTGCTATATAGATCAGGCTGGCTTTGTAGTCAGAGAGCCACCTGCCTCTCCCTTCTGAATACTGGGATTAAAGGTGTGTGCCACCATGCCCAGCCATATAAGTTTTACTTTAAAACTTAAAATGCCTAGTTTCTTTTTGTACATGAATTCTGTACTAACTGCTGTATGTATAACACACATAAAAAGAGTATACTTTGTTCTCAAACAACAGTTCTTTAAATTTAAGACCTAAGTCTGACTGTAGGGACAGTTATTCCATGTTCTCTGAAATGTTGAGTATTGTAAAAAACAAAAAGCAAAAAACTACTTCACCTATCTTTATAATGTATTTATTATAAAGGAATGACTGTGGATTGCTGTCAACTCTAAACACTTCTGTATGTCAGCATTTATTGACCATCTACTGTGTGCAGAGCACTACTGATAAAAAATTTATTCATGTTAAAGAATATTTGACAACTGCTTAAAAATCTGAGCTTTGTAATAATGTATAGTTTTGTTTTTGTTAGTTTATTAAAATAAGTTGAAAATTGTACTTCCAGCTACAGTATTTTAAAAAAGTTAGTCTTACTAGCTTATATAAACTGTAAAAGCTAAGACTTTGAAAGTACTGTTTTTTAACTGTGACTGTTTTAAATTATAAGAATTTATAGAGATGCAGTTATCTCACTTAATAAACAATCATCTTTCTCTGTAGAGCCATTTTCCAACAGCAAGACACTGTTCATCTTTGTGGCTTATACTAAGTGCAGTTAAGTAGCTGCATGGCAGAGTGTACATATGTAAATAAATACGGTTTACTAAATGCGTGCTGCTCGTCATTCCTTGTGATATACTACAGCTTGAAATCACGTCAGCGTCAAATGATGAGTCAGGGACTGTCACAGCTATAATCCCACTGGGCAGAGTATCCATTGTGATGACTGTGCTTGAAGAACACAGAGCTGCACAACTCTCCACTTGGCAGGCGTCCCCCAGAGATACACCCTGCCCTGTACTGAATGCCAAGGGGCAAGGCCTGCACTTCTGGATTCCTGCCACTTGCTGAGAAGGTCCAAGTCCACCCAAGAAGCTGCATTTCTTCCAACTCCACTTACCAGTGTGAAGCAGCTTGGCTGTTAGCAAAGGGGAAAGGGGTCTCCTATATGTATTGTCACAGTAACTGTTTACACTGTTAAGAAATGTAGTCTTCTGGGCTGATGAGAATGGTCTAGTCTGAAACTTACCCTTCAAAATGTTGTCTGTAAGGGTGAGAAGCAGCCGTAGGCCCTCTTGAGGAGAGTGAACTTGCAGACCTGTGAACAGCCTCCAAGGCCCTCATCCTGCTCCTCCAATGTGGCATCAAGCTCCTGCCCAGCATGCAGGTCCTCAGAGTTGTACCGGCCTATGTGCTTTCTTAATATGCAACAGTTCTAAAAGATCATGTCTTTTCAACATGAGTATTAGCTGTGCTATGCATATTGCTTGAGCCAGCCTTTCCTAGAAAGGAATAATTCAAAATAAACATCTCAAATAGTGTATGTTCCTCTTTGGAGAGGTAAACCATAACTGGATCTAAGTGACTGCTTTGCACTGGTTAAAGTCCACTCATACCAAACAAAATGGACCTGTTCACAGCTGAGAAAGTGTACAAGCCACCAATCAGATTCCAGATTGTGGAATCTGCATTCTAAGTTGAGACTGCAGCCAAAGTTAGTGCATCAATCTTATACATAGTACATTTCTTTAATATGCCAAAGCCTCTTTTATTCTTAAAATACTTAACCAAATTTATTAAAATAATGCTAACAGTCTTTTAAATTAAAAAAAGACAAAATCAAACAAAATAAGGTACAAATTAAATACTACACCAGACGAGTAATTGAAAAGGCATGCTAAGATCTGTGTTCTGACCTTACAAGCAGTGTATTAGTAAATTTGTGACAACTGTGTTATGAAGAATGTTTGTTGCAGAAAAATTAGGCCAAGTGCATTTTCTTAAATCCTAAACCATGAGCTCTTGGAGAACAGCACACAAAACTGAGACAGGATCCACGATGAGGGTGAAAGAACTGAACAGAAGTTTGTAATGAAACTTTTAATGATACAAATAATAATAAAAAAACTCCAAAGGCATTGATTATAAAGAATAAGCAATCCATTTGGGATTTATTGCATTTAAAGAAGGCAGATTATTAAAACAGTATGATAAATACAGTAAGAAAATAACTTTAAATCTCAAACAAAATAGTGAACAGAATTCAAGACTAAGCAATGTAAAGGCAATAAGGTAATAAAATTAGTGCTTTACTGGGTACAGGGAAAGCAACTGAATTCTATTTCAAACATCTCCCAGCTACATTTGAGGGCTTAAGTTACTTTAGCAAGTATGTTTTATAACAATTAGAAATATAACTAAGGATATAAACCCGGTTTACTTAAAGATTAAAGTTATTTGCTTAGTGGTACATAAAAGGCTTCAGAAAATTCAAGTTTAACAAAAACATGGAAGTGTAATCAAAGAAAGTGCACTTAAAGCTGTTTGCCAGCAATTAAAAGGGATCTTCCAGGCTGGAAGGCTGAAAGCCCTAAAGCGCTTGCCTAGCTTGTGCAAGGCCCTGGGTTCAGTTCCCAGCACCACAAAAGAAAGAACAAGTGGCTACTACTCCTTCTATTAATAGGATAACCTTTCAGTCCCAAAAAAGAACATAGTAATAAAATCAGTTTTCCTGAAAGTAGCACTGTGAATTTTAAAAATTAAAAACAAAAAAACAAGACTAAAAACCTAAACCAGACCCAGCCCTCTGTATTTTCATCTACTTCTTCCTTTTAGTGGCTTTTTAAAACTCCCTCACTAGAAGTGAATGCTCTTTAAAAAAACAAAACAAAACAAAACAGATTGCCTTTCTAAATTCACATTAAGTCCGTAATAGACAGCCATGGTGTGCATGTGTCTTTTTATCTTAGTAGAAAACACCACTGAGTATAACTTTTTCCAACAGTCATTTGTTACTCTCTCAGTAGACACATCATCTCCTCACAGTAGACTGTCAGCTCAGTAACTGGACATAAATTGATGACTAGTTTTGCTTAAAAATAAAAGAAAAAATGACAGAGTTCACTATGCATTCTACAAGTATTAAATATATCCAAACTCCCCATAAGTCGTGAGTCTAATGCATGTGTACCTTCTAGCAATGCTTAAGTGAAGTACCCAGACCTGGATGACCCAACTGAGAGGCGCACCAGAGTAGGTGGGCTCCACCTTAGTATTCTCTACCAGGAAGAGGAGAGCAGTCAGCCCCTGTTATCAGGGGAGGACTGACTGCAAAGTGCACAGATCTGAAGGCCAAGTGACTCCCTAAGTGCCCAGGGGAGGAGCACTCAGTGCTTAATATTCTAGTCAGTTCCATTCTCACCCAGCGTGGAGTAGACCTTTTCTCCAGCTCCATACCAAGCAACCTCTGTGCCTTAGTAGATCCATTTTTTTCAATGCCCTAAAAGATTCTCTGGCAATACTAACCTTTTATAGATGTGATCCAAGTTAAGCAAAGGGTCCACTTTTTAAGAACAGATTCAAAGTTAATGAGCACTGTTAAAGCTTCAAGATAACAACTCTGGCCTCAGACTCTCTTGCTGGATTCCTAATGTGACTTCCCTTTGATGTTCAAGTCCAACAGGTTTAGTTAGAACTGCTTTGCATACTTAGAAGCACAGGGCACACCCAAATGACATTCTTTAAACCAGAACTGGGCTGCCCCATAATAGAGCCAAGCCTTGCAGTGGGTGCTGGGTAAGTGCTCACTGTGCGTGGGAGCCAAGCTCTTGTAAGGAAATTAGCGACAATGACATTTAAATGGAGTCTCCTCATCTTGAGAAAATGCCATTAACAGCAACGCAAAGGAGCTGCCCATTGGACCTCCAATTAAGTCACTGTCCAATGAGCTGGTCTCAAGAGGAGCATCACCTGCTGGGCTGTCCGAGGCAATGTAAACATTTTAAGCTGGGGCAGAGTTGTTTCCTAAGACTTTGTCTAGCATAAGCCTAAGGGGCTGTGTCAGTGAAATCACATATTCAGTGCATTGAAAGGCAAGTGGAACTCTGATTTTATATTCACAACTCAGAAGACCACATCAGTTCATCATTACTTTAGGAAGAAAGTATTACTGAATCTGTTTGTAGCTTAAAGGGTCTATACCATTCCCATTAGAGAGGTTAATCAACCTGAGAACCAGAAAAAAAGGTGCAAACATAGTCTCTGCCTTTGGCACAAGGACAGTAGGTGGTGCAGCCTGGTTCTGGGTGGCGGTGTGATGTGGCCTGCTCCTGTCCACACTACCCCGGCTGAGCCCACAGAGGAGGAGACAAACAACACAAAAAGGACAGTGGTTTGTTATGTATTTTGCTTCTTTCCAAGTTCTGAGCTCTAAAAGCAGGCAAATGATTTCCCCTCTCAGGGCACTAAACTGAAGAGGTTTAATAAGATTACTCTTTAAGATACACTAACTGGGGGCAAAGAGAGTTAACTTAAAATATAGCAATCAATAGCAATAGCTGTTGATGTAGAAACTTCAAATGTTCATCTGTAAAGACAGCTAATCATAACTTAAGACAGACACAGGAAGCGCGGACATTCACATTAACTGATCTAGAACGCCTATCGCTAATCACAACTAGAAAATTTCAAGTTTCTCATTATGACTGGTGATAGTTTTTAAAAGGCAATTTGGTAGCTTAGTTCTTTTCACTATTGATGCAAACGGGTGGCAGAATTAAGCTCCCAGTCCCACCATCTAGTTCTTCCATCCACTGAGGGTCTGGCTGCCAGTGCAGAGGGACTGGCTGTCACTGTCGGAGCACTGTAGTAGAACGGCGCCCCCTAACCCTGAAGGAAGGAACTGCAGCCCAGGACTCCCCAGTGCTGGATGAGGGTGGGGCTGTCATAAAGTAAGTCAGTAAATGCAACATGATTTTACATTGTAAACTTCTTTACAAATTAAAGTTTCAGCTACATTGTTTCTGAAATTAAATTTCTATATAACCTGCCCCCCCATCAATGTACTTCAGTAGGGACATAATAAAGGTTTTGGCAACTACCCATTCAAAAACAAAGTATTTCTGAAGTACCAAATGTTGCTTTTCTTTTTGAAGTATCATTCTTTTACATTTTTTCAAATGCCAGATATTTCTCTCTGTATTTTTGTTCTAGGCATTCCACATTGTAAAAATTTATTTTTGATAGATTAAAAACTGCATATATATTATCATATACATGTTTTGACCTATACACCGGTAGAAGGGCTAAAGTGAATTTATATATATACATTATTTCATATACTTATCATTGCAGAGTCCATTATTAATGGCACTTGTTTTTTTTTTAAAATGCAAACTTTTTTAGGCACAATAGTCAGTTTTGTCTGGCCCCACCTTACAGAGAAGTGTAGGAAGAGCATACCCTATGCTGTTTCCTCATAGGTGGAAACATTCAGTCAGCCTGGCTTCCAATGCTGGATCTGGGGTCTGCACCTAGGTGACATTTTGACATCCGAAGTGATAAGCTTCCCTGTCCTTCGGCGGCTACACACCAGCTTTCCCAGGAAGCCCCACAAGTGACCCTCTGTCAGTAGCCAAAGCCCTTGGAGCTTTCGATTTAGGCCTCCTCCTGGTTGGAGAAGGCATCAACTTACTACCCTGTACAAGTAATTCCATTTGGTTTATTTAAGAATCATCTATCCTGATTAACCTGTGTGAGTGAATGACATAACTATACAAATACGTTTTCATCCAGATTCATAAAACTACTCATACTTTTTTTGAAACAGGAGTTATTGCTGAGTCCCCCTGAAAGATCTACTGTTTAGAAGGAAATGGAGCAGCACCAAAGGGGTCTAGTTCGACCGACTGGGACTGTTGTGAAGTGACGCTTTGCACCACGAGTTCTGTGAAGGGCACGGCACCAAAGTCATCCATTCTCAATGCGTCTGCACTGTGGAATGACCCATGTACTGAATTCTGTCGTGGCCTCCCAGGCAAAATGGTGTTGTGATCAACACAGATGTCGCTTAGGCTCTGATGGGACTGGTGCCACAAGTCTGGAGGATGAAAAGGCTTGGCACCAAAAGGGTCCAATAGACTCTCGTCAGGTTGCAGGACACTGGCCCTGTCTTTGCCATCAGTCAGCGCGACGCTGATGTTCTCCTTGGAGTCTGAAATGGTTAAAAACTCATTGCTGCTTTGTGAGTCTCTGCGGCCCACCTTCTTGTGTCTGCGGGTCCTCTCGGGCGTGCGGTAGGGAGGCTTCAGAGTCTTCTTAGCGCTGGTGGGCGTGCCGTGATGGCGCTTCCCGTTGCTTTTGGATACATCCTGCTTTGTGCGTCTCTGGCGAGAGGACAGTTTCTGCAAGCTGCGTTGCTTGACTTTTTGCTGCTGCTGACTCCCGGTTATTTCCTCAAAGGGCACGAGCCCAAAAACATCCTCCTTGCTTTCACTTTTACTGGCTGACATGGAAAATGGCTGAAAGGGAGTGGAGCCAAATATATCTACACTTCTGGGCCGTGCAGGAAGAGGATGTGTGTCTGGCCCCACTGCGGGCCAGTCCTGTACGTTGACCTTCTTGTTGAAGGGTGCCTTTGTAAACACGTCGAAGTCCTCCTGCTCTGGAAATGCCTGCTGGGAGAGGTTCTTCCCATTCCCTCTGTGCTGCAGCTGTGGAGCAGGCACTGCAAAGAAGGGAACAGCACCAAACACATCGAACTCCTGACTGGGAGTCAGAGCATCAGCTGGTGAATGGGCAGGGGTCAGGAGTGCTGTGTTCGGGGCACCGCCAGGTTTGTCTCTACGCAGGGAGCTCGAGTCTCCTCCCCTGGCTTTTGTCTGTTCACACTCTGAGTCAGAGCTGTGTTTGTCATCCTCTTCTTCATCTTCGGAGTCCATGAGTAAAGGCCTGTGACCTAGGTTCTCTGGCTCGGTGTCGTCATCATTAAAGTCCGCATGTTCTCCCTGTGCGTCTTCATCCTCTTGTTCTTCTTCACTGCTCTTAGGAGAAGGGGGGTCTGATTCAAAATCGCTTTCAGAATCGTCATTTCCCTTTTGCACTTGACCCCTAACTGCGGGATTCTCTGAGCTTTTCTTTCCTGCTCGCTGATCTTTGCATATTGGACTTGAGCTTCCATTTTTGGTAGGGTTTGCAGTGGTATTTTTTTGATTTGGAGAATGTTCCGTTTTCTTTTCAGGAGAACCTAAAAGTTCAAAGAAAACTCATTACAGTATTCAAGTATTTCAATATCTACTTATACTAAACACATGGCATTCTGTATCCTTCACACAGGCTCCTTCCAGGGAGGAGTGCTGTTAGTCCCTGGCCATGTCCTGGGCAGGTGATTGGTCTCTGTACACATGGCACAGACTGTCGGGACAAAGCCACTGCATTCACAGCACCATCACAGGACCCTCAGTAGGACAAGGACATTAATGGTCTTCTCTACTGTCAAAATCCACTCTCCAAGCGAACTTCATTTCAACTTGTAGTTCTGTTTTCTCTTTACTAAGTATCTGCCTGCCTGTGTGCCCTGTGTGTTGTTTTACATCTTCACTTTGCTGTCTGAAAATTGGTATTGTAAGTTAGTATGGATCTGTCTCACACAGACTGATCAAAGCTAAGGTCTAGCTCTGACGAAGACACTCTCAAGGACACTTAATGAGGTGGCACCACGTGCCTTCTCTGACTAGCACATCTTTAATTAAGACACCTTAGTTTGCTTGAAAATAGACTGGCCTACTGAACTGGATGTTTCCCCGAGGTGAGCATCAGTTTGTATTGATCCAAATTACAAGTACTGATCTCTTCCCTCCTTATGACTAAGATGTTTTTCCAAACAATTACTGAGGACTGGAAGTACAAAGTGTAGTCATGAAAACTAATTAGCTTATGATAGAAGAACTACTCATTTTCCTCATGCAAAGGTCTCTGATATGGTGGCTTTAGCGTTATTTCCTTCTCTCCAAAGTCCACAGTCATGTTCTGACAACTGTCACCCACACTCTTCCACCAACACCCCCTTAATCATGTCAGTTCCCCATAGCCCTGTCCTAGAGGTCTGTCCCTCTGCAGCCTCACCGTTCAAAGCTTCACGCCAGGTGCCTCATGCAGCAGTGGTTCTGGCTGACATCTTTTTAGCTGACATCTTCATGGGAAATTCCAATCTAACATTTCTTTTGCTTCCCTCCCGAGACAATGCATCCTACCAGTACTTGAAGGCAGGAATCCCTAAGGCTATCAGCTTCCTTTAGGATATATTCATCACCAGTTCCTAAATTAACCGCACCTCCAGCTACGCAGGTCCTTCAGTCAGCAGATGTCAAAACCATATCCTTACTGGTCACTGTATCTTCCGTTTGTGAAGGTACCCCATTCCGTCTCATTTACTCATCCTTTTCTTTACCTCTCACAAAGAGACTTGCAACATCCATTATGTGGCTAGCTAGCTATCAGTAATCTTTCAGTGGCTCTGAGATGTTCCACCCTGTGTGTGGTGTACTGTCCTGTGTTGCCTTCAGCTACTCTGATGTCTTCTATGATACTACCTATCATATGCATAGCTAACCTCTTTCTATGACACCTCAGGAACTGAGTAGCAGCCTAAGTCCTTCAAATCTGCTCTCAGATTTAGGAACTGGCAATGATGCTAAGTTGGCCTAACACCTCTGCTGCTCTGTAGCATCACACCTTACAACTCACCCGATGGACCTATCGCACAGGACAGACCTCCAGGACTAACCCCTGAAAGATGCCTTCACATTTAGTACCTGATGAACTGTAGACCCCTTAACTGCAGGCCTGCTCCAGGGTTGTGGCTGGCCAACCATTCCTACTTATCATATCTTACCTGTTGTTAATCTCTGTGGCCTAGCTCTGTGCACAAGTGTAACCAAAATGACTGCTCCACAAATATGATGACATGTCAGTACTATATGGAGGTGTTTTTAACTCGGACTTCAGTCACTTGCATTTTCTTACTACATTTAATGAACAAATGTCTATTTTCAGGAGTTTGCACTCAGTGTCAGGACTCAAAAATGTCCAGTGTGCTGAAAAATCCCAGGAGGGAAAATGGAAGCATAAACCTAAACCTACCTCTGGCAGTCAGTAAAGGCCTCCCTAGGGAGAAGTCAGGACTGAACCATGAGAAAGAGCCAGCCATACAAAGGACAAGCTGCTAGCCGCTCCAGATGAAAACCTCTGGTACCCTGAGGCAGTGAAACTGGGCAGGTGTGGCTGCAGCACGGTAAGAAAGGGGGCCGGGCTGCTGCACTGCTCAGAACCACGTTTGCAGGTGCTTCGTGGCCTCAGTGCTGGGAGAACAAGGACCCCTGGTACTCCCTGACAAGCCAGTCTAGCCCACTATGGGAGCTGTAGGACAGTGAGAGACCTTAAGGGAGGGGAGGGGGGTGTGTTCAGTGAGCAGTTTAGTCCCTGGGATCCTTGTGGTGGAAGAGAGAACTGACTCTCCAAGCTGTGCTCTGACCGGTACAGATGTGCTATGACAAGTGTGTGCACACACACTCGTACAATAACCAAATGCAGGAATAATTTCTTATGGTGGATAGTACTTGAGAAGTGACACTGTGTTGTCCTCCCTCAGTGTCCACAGCAGGAATGGAAGGAGAACATGAGTGAGATGTGCGACTATTTACATGGACAGAATGCACTGGAAACGATCAAAGCATCATTTTGAGGCCCCAAGCACTTGTGAAGCAGCTGTGAAGCGTTTTAATAGGAAGCTTAGCTTTAGCTGAAGAAAACACGTTTGGAAGTTACCACTTTGTAATACACAGAAAAGGCCACAAGACTTCAGGATCATCACCTAATAAGATAAAGAAAAGAAAGTGCAAAGCTGAGTCCGAGGGCATAGACCCAGAGTCAGGCAAGGAAGAGAAGCTGTGTGCAAGGCACGCTGAAAAGTACCACCACCAAGGCAAAACCAGGTGGGCACAATGCCCGAAGCAAGACAAGTGCTCCAAGGTAGAGTCAGATACCTGAGCTGCACGGGCAGTCCTAAGCAAATGGACCGAAAATCCCCCCGCAGCCTAGTCATTCTGTGCACTTTATTGAGACTCAACCTTAGTAGTGAGGCTCTGAGTGATGGGAGAGAATACTGGAGACAATACCATCAGGCTACACTTCAGCATCCATATCATCTTCCGCCCAGTCCTTATTATAATTAGCTAAAAGCTTCAGTGTTGTTTATCATCCCAACAAACCAAAACCAATTAGATGAAGATTCTCATTTTCACTGTTTGCCCATACAGTGTTCCTCTCACATAAAAAACAAACAAAAAACAGCAACAAAAAAATTACCTTTGGAGTAATGGTGGACCTCATGGATTTTTGTAAAAATAAAACACACATGGTTCCAGAGGAGTGAGTCACCCTCACTCCAAGAACATTTTCTCTAAGAAGACATTTAACCCCTCACAGATGGCCAGGCATACACCATGCACACTGCCAGACACTTGAGGGACCATCTGATTAATCCTGTATCAAGAATGAAACAGGCATGTGGTCTCAGGCAACTGAACCTATGAAAAGAGGCACCTGGTGCTCTGCCTACATTCTTTGTTGTCTGCAGTTTGCTATACAAAATAATCTAATTTTATAAAATCTAGAATGCCCCACATTTTCGTCTCTCTACCTTCATGAAGTGTAACATGTTAACCTGTATAAACAGATTAGCAGGCTAGTTCTTGGGTAAATGCCACCCTTTAGCTCCTGTACAAAACTCTCCGTCCCCAGAGGCCTTCCAGAACTCTTAGCACAGCAGGACTCACGGAGAGGCCATCCAGTGCACCTTCTGCTCCCCTCCCAGCCCAAGTCCACTCTCCCGAGATGACTGTTCTTTCCACAGCAGCTCCATTCTGTCCGGAAGGCACCAGCTGCTTTCCACTCTCCCTTCGGACCGCCCTTCCTCAGCTACTTAGGATCGGATCAACAGAAACGAACCTTTCTTCAGTGTAAAGAACCACACAGAGATACTTTCATAACTAATTATGGACTTGAACTTGTCTGGCTTCTAGTTTCTATCCTCATGTACCAATGTGTTCAAGTGCCAACAAAAGCCATGGTTTCTTGTGAACGCTTGCTAAGATGGTGCACATATGTATCCTTCCCATCAGAGAATATCGAGGCTATTTTTAGTTTTCCCACAGTTACAACAGAAAAACCAGGATCTTTGCGTGTGTTTTCCTTGAGGTAGCAAAAAGGAAAAGCCACTTCTTTCGGATGTCAGATGTCGCTTTCACTTTAATCCATGTACTGTTATTTCCTTCCCACATATAACTAACAAAGAGCTAAGAAAAACACTCTACCAGGTGACAGCTACTCTACTCTGAAGTCATGAATGAAATGAGGCGAGAACAGATTTTTACTTTATTTGCCTTGTTAAGAAAGTACCAAGGGAACAGGAGAGACTGCGCAGTTAAGAGCACTGTCTGCTCTTCCTAAGACCTTGGCTCAATCCCCATCACCAAGGCTCACAACCAGCTGTGGAATCTGATGCCCTGATCTGGCCTCCTTGAAGACTGCATACATGTAGCCAAAACACCCATACACTAACAATAAAAGTAAATCTTAAAGGGGGGAGGGTACTAACAGTGCCTGACACTATATGAACTCTTTCTCATCATCTGCAACAAGAAGCTAGTTAATTCACTTCCCCTACCATAATCAACCAGCTTCCATCTAGTAACTTGTCAAAGTACAAGGGAGCATTAGGAAGAAGCAAGAAGGGAAGAAGCAATTCTTGGCAGAAAAAAGAAAACCAAAAAAACAAACAAAAACAAAACCCAAACAACACTGATTGACTTGAGAACTGATCAAAAGCAAGTATACAAGCAAATATATATCCACATACCCAGAGTAAACTTGTAATCCTGGAAATTACATCTCTTTAAATATACTTGGGAACACAGTGTAACAAATGGGAAAGAAATGCTTTCAAGATAAGCAGAAAAAGTTACCCGCCACCACATACGACAGCTTCGGAACTGGCTTGTACAGACAGTGATTTTACTACTGTCTCTCTCCTTCTTAAAACTAAAGCAACAATAAAAGGCATTTATCAAATCCCTTTTTATCCTGTATTCTAAGACTCCACAGAGACACTCCTCCATTCCCCCAGTGCCTGCTCCTTTGTAAGCTACTTGAGTCATGAACAGTAATTCGGCCTCTGCAAACACTCCA